TAACCAGCATCACAAAACTGCAGTGCTAAGTCCAGTGCACACCTCAGGCCCATCAGGAATCATAGATTGTACTGTGAGCAGGAAAAATGCCTGATCTGTATGTTCAGCTTAAACATACACCAAGCACAGACTCTGTCACGAGAGATGAGTTATTCTGGCAACGCACAACTTTTAGACTGTTGAGTTTCTTTTCTTTTCTGTCCCACAGCCCACCTGGGGCCTGCTTTCAGTTCCTCAGCTGCTTTCTGAATCTTAAAAAGGAAAAGATTTAAAGCACAATGCAAACCCAAGAAGTGCTGAAAAATGGCTTGAATTACTGACAGGAGGAGCCACCTGCGGGGGAAGATGCGTTTCACGCAGGCAAGCTGAAATGCCATTTCCACCAGTGGTGGTCAGTGAAGCAGATGGATACTGGAAGATACATGGCTGTTGCTCTGAGACATGCTCAGAGGTGGCACTGCTTCTTTGAGCAGGCCCCGGAGGGAGAGCCAAGGATGATGCCAACTGATGGCTGTGTCCTATGGAGTTGGCACAGGGCTGCTGTGTGCGTGTGTCCTGTGGAGGGGCTCCCCTGTGGTCTCAGAGGCTGGCTGAGAACTTGGATGCAAGGACAGAAAGTAAAAAATAGAGAAATTAAATGGAGTGTTCTTCATTTCATATTCAGTGTCAAGGAAAAGAAAGCTTTTCTGTGGGATGCAGCTGTAAGATTAGGAGAGATGAAGTTGAATTATTAAAACATTTATTCACGCAAGTACATGTTGAGCTCTCTGAGGACCAAACACATCCGCTTAATTAAAACAGAGAACTTCCCAAGGACCCTTTATATTGGCACTGACACATTTAATACTTATGTCCTGAAAGGGTCATACATATCCATAGTGGTAGGTCTGAAAAGATAAAAAGCTTTTTCGTCTACTTGCCATACTCCCTGCCAAGAAGCAGCTCCTCATCACGCTTGGTATGAAGGCAGCATGATGAGGAGGAGGCTGCTGCCTATGGGCTTTGCTGCTGACAGTTGGTCAACAGCAATGGTAGGTTGTGCTTTAGTGAGAACAGCTTGGCTGTTGTGAAAGAGCAACAACAACAGCCAAAATCTGACAGACAAGGCAGGCAAACATGCTTGGGGACTGATAGATGTTGGTCTCCTGTAGAGAAGGGAAAGGGAGGAGGATGCAGCCCTTTTGAGGGTCCTTGGTCAGAGTTTCTCTCCCTTATGGTTCCTGTGATTTGCTTTTTCAAGACTTCTTGTGGCAGATACTGAAGGGGCAGAGAAGAAACCTCTGCATCACTCATGTCCCACAGCAAACCTAGAGAAGGATGGATGTTTCATCATCACTCGTTCAATCTACATGGCTTTGCAATACGGTTATTGTCTGCCAACTCAGGCAAGAGTTTGGCTTAGGGAGAGAGCAGAGGTGACTCAGGAGGTGACTCAGGAGGAAGCTCTGGCTCCATTCCCCGTCCCAGTCCTCTGGCTCACAGAGGACAGGTCAGTGGAAGGGGGCAGCACATCGGAAGCTGTGGACATAGCTTTTAATCCCACAGGTATGGCAAGAAAATGCACTTCTCAACTAGATCAGGTTGCTCAGAAACACACCCATCCTGGTCTTGAAGAGCCTTGGGTATGCAGCTGCAGCAAACCAGCCTGTGGTAGGTGATGCTGCCTGGGGGATCAGATCCTGCTGCCTCCCGTTCCCCAGAGAGGGAGGGGAGAGGGGGCTGTGCCATTTGCTGGGCTTCAAACGCTTCCAAAATGAAACCAGAAGGTGGTATTGGATAGGAAAAAAATATTACAAAACACTTGCATGCAGGTAGTGAGAACTGGGACCTGCTGGATAAAGACAGTGATGGTGACAGAATTGGGCATGTGAAGACTAGGGTTCACTGAAGAACAGAAGAAGCCAAGACGAGGTGTGGAGTGACCCGTAGAGTGTACAGAAACTTGAATTCAACAAGGAAAAGAAAGAGGATTTGGAGGCTGTGCTGAGGAGAGAACCAAAAGAAATAATGCACAGTCTTGATCCTCTTCTAACTTCTGTATCATGTAAACACACTTTTTTTTTTTTTTTCTTCTGTGGTATTGATTCAACTTAACTACCAGGAACATTTCTACTTCAAAAAAAAAAAGTTTTTAAGAACTTAGGATTAATGGTGCACATTCGGTTTTTAATTAAAAATGATTCATGAATATTTTCCTTTTGACAAAGCCTGATTTAATAATTTATGGGAGACTTCTCATGCTGAATTTTCAGCTACATGAAGAAATCCACTTCGTTAACAGGACCACTATATATTCATTCTCCAACTTGTCATCTACTGCAATCTTTACTGTAGTAAAATTAGGCAGAGCTGAGAAATCCCAAGGTACAGCGCCAGGTTTGTGTGTGTGGATTTTCATGCTTGTAAGACAGTAACCTATTCTGCAAGCAGTAGTGCCAAGAAGGAGACTTGAGACTTTCCATCCTCCGCAATGGATGTTACTATCTAACACTGAGAAGACGCGAGGGCCCACTCCACATATGCACAAACCCCAACAGTGAAAGTATTTGCACGCTTGGAGTTTTTCACGTCTCAGCGCTAAGAGACACTGTTCCCTCGTCTTCAGCCCTCCCCAGCACATGCACAAAGAGAAAAGCTTAGTCCTTACCTGATGCTTTTTGCATCTGTCATGGGTCCCAGTGCACCCCCTACAAAGAGCTGTGATGCATTCCCATTCTCTTAAGAACTGCTGAGGGCAAGATGAGATGGAAACATAAAGCTGCTGGACTTTAAATTGAAATGACTGCTCTTACCTGTTCCTAAACCACTGTCAGACCTTAGGAGCTGTGTTTCCTGAACAGCAGTAATAGTACGTGCTCAGAAAGCTTAATGAAACAAGGTGCACTTTATGCCCCTTCTCTGCTCACTTCCATGCCTGGTACCCCTTCAGAAACCAGAACTGCCCAAGTTCAACAGCCTCAGTGGGAATCTGGTCTTTGATTCTGCTTGAAGAGAGCCTTTCCTGGCAGCACATCCTTGCTAGCTATCTAACCTATGGAAGTAGATCAAGAAGGTAAGATAAAACAACTAGTCAAGAGATGCTGGTTACTTAATGAGTTAAAAGCCATTTCACAAAACACATTTTTTGCCTTTTCTAGGATGCTCCTGCATCTTGAAAAAAGTGGGAGGGAGTGATAACTTCATACATCAAAACACTTCTTGCTGGCAGGTTAGCCAGGGCATTTAACTTATCATCTATCAAATTTTCAGTTTCCATTTCTCCACCCTGTCTGTGCAGAGAGAGGCTGGGGACCAGTTTACTACATACAGCTACCTGAATGAGCAGGACTCTACTTCTAGACAGAAAGCAGGTTTCTGGGTTGCTTTGGCAGTGAGCAATGGATTGGTGCCTCTCAACCCCAATCCTGTACTAGGTCCCCAACCCCCCCAAGGACTTGAGAGCAGGGGTTGTTAGAGATACCCAAGTAATCGATGTCAAAATAAGAATTTTCAGTGTCACTGTGGTGGTTAGAGAACTGTTCGGCTTTAACCCTGTCAGCATGCTGCCTGCTCCCCGGACCTCTGCGTGCAGTACCAGTTGCAGGTTTTGCATCTCCCATCGAGGCGGATGAGTCTTCACTGACACCGGACCCCTAGAGAGATACAGTTCGCAGTCTGGTGGAGAGCTCTTGCTCTGTGCTTACAGAGAGTTTAGATGATACTGGGTTTAGTGGAGTGCTGATTGCTTTTAGGACTCCTCCCCAGACACACACACCACCAGCTAGACCAGAAGCATCAGCCATAAAATAAAACTGGGAAGAGGATACAGCCTTTCGCACCAAAAAGCTTGTCAAGCTCTGTGTATGGAATCACTCCACGAGCACTGTGAGACAGCTGTCGTGCCGGGGACATGGCATCCAACAAGCAGCTTGAACCAAGGCATCACACTGCTGAGCTAACAGCAACCGACCCAGGTTTGCTCGCTGGCTGTGTTTATATTCAGAGCTTGAATGCTGCCACAGAGCTGCATGACTGGAAGAGATCATCAGCCAGAACGAGTCTCTGCAGAAACTTGTATTGTCAAGTCATTTGCAGCATCTCAGTGATCCAAAAAGTTGGTATTATTTCATATTATTTCAACTGGCCTTAATCTAAGAAAACACAAAATGTACCCCACAACATATTTAGTATTTGCAAGCAGTCATCCTCTGGTAGCTGGGGAGGCTGCACTTAAGTTGCTGAAAAAAGTATTTTGACTTCCCATTTTACAGGCATTAGTCTTTTTCTTCTGTTACACAATGCAACTCACTCAGAGACATTTTCATGGAGAGCTACAGCAGGCAGGTCACTGTAGACTTCAGCTTCAGGGTACCTGTGTAAATGTCCAAGAAGTTTAACATTTTCCCACAGAAAACACTATTTTTGTCTTGTGGATGCTGACATTGCATTCTGAAGTGGAAAAGCAGTATTAATCTGAAAAGATTCTATTTTCTCATCTCTCCTTTCCTTGCCATTATGAAGCTCTGAAAACTAGGCTCTTATCTGAAAACCAGCTGAGACTATGTTCAAATATTCTCTCCATTTTACTGCCAAGTGGCAAAATTAAGTCCTTCTGCACCAGAAAGTACTTCCCTTTAACCATGGTATCTGAGTTTATGAGTCTTCTTTTGCAAAAGTGTTTTAAAAGGATTTATCTCTCCAGTTGCTAACAGTTGAGAATAAACCATGGCTCTAGACTCCAAAATTCAATACCAGAGCAGTAATTCTTACAGTACCTTCAGAGGCCGGTCAAAGAGACCTGAGAAAATGTCAGAATGTAAGAGTTCATGTACCAAAGAAAAGGGAATCTGCCGAGCCAGTGTTTCTTTTCTTTGTCTCAGTTACTTGCCTGAATCTACACATTTGCTCTTGCTTTCAATGTTTCTCGTTATTTTCATGCAGAGTGAAAAAAAAAGATAATACGGAAAGATGTGTTGTATTTGATGGAAGAAAATAAACAGGAACGGGAAACAAAGTGTACAAAATGAATTTTTATTAAATGAAAGAAAATCTGTTTTGTGGGTCAAATATGAAATAGAATATACAAAAACTTTACATCAGAACTCTTGTCAAAGAAATTAAATCCTACCTAGACTGAAGTAGCACTCGTTCTTTCCAAGACAACACAAATGGGTGAATATGTTTTTTATGGCAATACAGGATCACGCAGTATGCTGTGCTAAACTCCTGGGTACAGAGAAGAAAAGTTAAAAATCTAAATGATGTCCCTAAAGAACCCAACTATTCCACAAAGTAACTTAAAAACATGAGTTTTGATCATTATGTATTCTCTTCAAAGCAAATGACAGATGGGGTCAAGTGCAGAGTTCACAAAGCTTGCATATCACATTACCTGTTTCTATACAAATATAAATCGTTCTTTTTTTATTTTAAAAATCCTTTATACTTGATAGCATTTATTTGTGGAAAAGGATGACCAGTTCATCAGGTTCCTGCTGAATTCCACTTCTTTTTCTCCTCCTTTTTTTTTTTTTTTGTGAAGACCATTACCCACCATAAACTGCAGACTGCAATATGCTTTAAAAGCTGCTGTATGTTTAATCATGAATCTTTGTTTCACTGTCCTGTATATGAAGGTTCTGCAGATCTCCTAACATGTCTTTGGCATAGCACACCAAGTCCCATTTAATACTTTTTTTGTTTAAAAAAGTATATTTTCCTTTAATAAAACACCTTAAAAACATCTATTTCTGATTTTGTAAAATAATGTGTCACCTCTTGTGTTGCTTTGCAAAATATACATACACATTTTGGAAAAACACTGAGTACTGACATAAGAGACTCATCTGAAGTCCGATCCGTTTATGAGAAGTAAAATATAATTACAGATTCCATCTTCTGCATGAATATCACATGAAGTCATTCAATTCAGCTTCAAGTGCTGCTGCCATTTCATCTGCTTCAGAACTGCTTCCTTCCTCATCTTCATTGCTGGATTCTTTACTGGATTCACTGGCAGCATCATCTTCTTCCAGCTTGCGCTTGTGACCCCTGGAATGGTAGACAGAGATAATGTCCATGAATTATCTCGTTGTATGACATGGAAAAAAAATGGCGCTAAAGCACTCAACATTTTTTCAGGTCAAGATAGAAAGTACAGCACTTGCTTTTAAATGGACAAACAGTAGTTAGTTCACACAATTGATTTTTTAATTGCTCTTATTTACTGTTGGCTGTAGGTGCAAAGAACAAAGTAATGTTAATTTTGTTTCTTCCATTCTTCTGAACAAAGAATGAAAACAAAGTTTAAGACTGAAAATAATGAGTTGATTTATTTTCCCCTTGCATCCCAAAAGAACAAAGAAATCCATTGTGTGAATGAGAGATTACCAAAATATGATTCTGAAATATTCAAGTTCCTGCTCTTTCATAAAAATAAAACCATAATGATAAACCAAATCTCACTGCATCAGCTTTTATACTTTCATGTTTCCAAACATAGGGGTCTCATTCTTCCCATTTTATGTCTCTTTGGATTAGTACTGCCAGGCTGCACAACACATTTCTTAGCATCTCCAGAGTATTAACCAGTTTCAACAGGAAGCTGATGTGCACCATACCCTGCTGAAAGAATCATGTTCCTGGTTGTGAAAGATCTCCAAGGAAAATCTAATGCTTCAGCTGGGACATAGCCATAAGGAAAAGAATTTGGATTTGTGGAATGCTAAAATCTCTTTTCCTTGCCAAAAGGGAATTTTTTATCAGACATGTACTTCTGAGACAAAAATAAAGTGGAGACTTTGCATTGCGCAGAATTCACAACGAGCTGTAGAAACACCTTCAAAATCCTTCCCTGATCATTTGATCAAATTTCAAGCAGAAAAATATACGCAAAGGGGGTACCTCTTAAGTAACTGCCGTTTTCATTGCTAGATGGGGTTTCATTAAGAAGAGAATGCATCTACTTGCTACCATGAAAAATTAATAAACTGATCTTTTATCTTGTAGCAAAAAGCAATAATTTAACAATGGTCCATTTACTCCTGAGAGTGTAGAGAAGCAGCATATAGCAAGAAAGACCTTTGCTATAAATACTGACTTGAATTAAGTATATCCAAAAGAAATAAGTAAAAATAAATACAGTCAAACTTGAGAGCCTGTAAGCAACACTGAAATACAAAGCTATTTTTATTTATACAGACATTCTTACTGTCATTTCCCCAGAAACATTAATTCTCAGGAGCCCAGGCTGCTTGATTTGTTGGCTGGTTCAGTGACGCCTGACCCTCTTCTTTCTCAGCTTTTCAGGAAGATGTACAAGATGGGGTGCAAAGTCAGGAGTGGAGTCCGAATCAAAATGGGAAGCAAGTAGTACTGTGTTCTCTGGTTTTCCTTTCTGTTGCACCAGTGGGACAGATACACTGCTGCTGGTTTACTGAGTGCTTCCTCACAGTATGTTAGGTGGATTTTTGTGTTCAGTTTAGGGTGGTAGGAGTAATATTCCAGGAGGTAAAGCTGAAGCCCTGGGATTCAGCCTGGGGTCTAAAACCCTAACAAGGAATAATGGGATGAGGTGAAAGCATTTCCTGAGTTATTTTGCAATTGGAACTCAAATGTGGCCTGCTGAGGGAGTTACAGGGCACTAAATGCAGCCTAATAAAGAGTCAAAAGCATTTTCTCAGGCATAATGCTGATTTCCATGCAGCCTACATTAGCATGCAGGTCGGGGAAGGAAACACTCAAGACTAAAAATGCCCAGTTGGAAGAAATCTTAGCACATTTCCATTAAAAGCTATACACATGTATGGTGTTTCACTTGCTCACTTCGTGATGATTTCAGCCTTCAGAGACACAGAACTATTTTAGGAATTAATGAGGCTATTAGCTAGAGAAAAGCTAATTGGGAATTAAAGAAAGTTGAAAATGCCTTACTCAGCAAAAGAAGAAAAAAGTTGTGCATATTTAACAAGTAGTGGCTAAGAAGTATACATGTACTGCTGAGAAATGAAGACAGAGACAGACATGGAGGGCATTTATAGCACAATGCTCACAGCTAAACATTTGTATTCATCAGTTTGTAACACTGCATCTATGGAAACTGATGTACCTACCAATTGAGAAAATAAAATCGACAGTCTGACAGTTATAATTTACACGTATGAATCACATACAACTGCAGATAATAATTAAAGAACGTGGCAGGACAAGCAGGTTTTTAGAACCAGCCCAGATACCATGACCTTGCTGGGACCCAAATCGATACCAAAGATCCCATAGAAAAAAGGTCTGTGAAACCTTGAGAAACAGCATCTCACTGCCAGCTGATAATTTCTTAAAAGTAAGAAACAGTTTCATTTACTAAATAATGAAGGCAAAGCCCAGCAAAATTACCAATTTATGCAACAAAGCCACTTTTAAAATCTAAATCTACTCCATAGCAACTAGATTTCAGTGGGAACAATCAACAAAAAAAATACAGGAACCTGAAATACTCAGTATAACTAGTTAATTAAAGAATGGAGTTCCGGTCTACAAAAAGACTTTCCAGAAAGTCTTTCCAGAAAGGGACAGACCTGACATATTTTCATCCCTCATTCGATTGTATTAAACAGTACCTTTGGAAATGCAAAAGAATGTGATCTATTTTGTCAGTTCTTGTTCTTTCATCAAGGCTAGAATGACAGCTCTATTCAATCTAGCTATGAAAACTTCCTCACTCATGAGGAAGAAAAAACCCATCAAAATCAAAAAAGAAAACACAGCTAATTATTACTCCTCTGCTAGAAGAAAAAAAAAGTCTCTTGGGAATGTGAATATTGTTCTTATTAAGATATAAACACCTTTCACTATTTGTGTACTGTAAACTGCAGCTTCGTAGCTATTCCAAAAACATTTCAATGAGTATTATAAAATCAGATGCAAAGCTAACTCTGATAGAACATTAACACAGTGCTGCACTTTTTCTTTGCAAATTCAGGAAAGAGAGATAACATTCCATTAATAATTTCTATCTTCAGAGAAAAGCAGTATATACCCATGGCAGCATATTTATTAACAGACAATTTAAAATGTACATTTTCCTCATTATTTTGTGCCCACTCTTCGTCATTGCCAGTTTGAGAGCCATAGTGCATAACATTTTTGAGTGTAAAAGGTAAGCACATACAGGATTTCATCTTAGTATTTACAGAAAATGACTCAGCAATATGTTGCAGGCTTCCGTTAGCCTGATTTGCATGTTTTAAAAGGAATTTTGCTTGACTGCTATTAAAAACCAAGCATATAGATAATAACTGAATATCTTTAACCTCATAAACGAACAATTGAACTTGCCAAAAAACTGAGTGTAGAACTTTAAATATCTGACAACTCTGAGAAAAAAACTTGTACAATTCAGGTTTGTCTCTGCATTAATATTTTTCCTTTGTAATACTCAGTACTAGGAGGCCTACTAGTTCATGTGATGGAGAAATCTTTTAAAAACATAACTACATTTTAAAAAAACCATGTATTTAAATGAATTACTAAGATATTTGAATAAACTACACATCTAATTCAACATGATAGTAAAAAAACACCACTTGTAGTTATACATGTATAAAAGTTATTTTTAGGAAAATTTAATCTATAGAGTGTTAATGAGAAATATACTTAGTGGTATTCCAAATAAAGAGACAGGAAGAGAAGACATTACACACTTGAAATAGACCACAGTGTATACATGTGAAAACACAGCACAGAAAAAACTGAGAATAAAAATCTATTTAGCTCTTGATCTGTCACTAAAATATAATTGCAAGTACAACTAAAGGTTGAATTCAAATTTAGTTCACTGAAAGAGCCATAGGGAACAAAACAGTTTAAAAAAAGTCCAGTATTAGTTGCTTCTATTATCTTAAGGCCTTAATTTATAGTTAGCTGAAAATAAATGATGTTGGAAACCCCATTTTTTTCTATTAATTGAAAAGCAGATTGTCTCTGGTGTGTTTTGCATTCCAATGGCACCCTTTTAAGAAATACAGTGCTACATTAAAATAGAAACATCTAATAAGCAAAGGGCAACATAACCCTTATTTTAAATGAAGTAAACCTAAGCCTTTTCCAAACTTTGTTTTTAACTTGAAAAAGAAAACTATAGCAAGTTCATAAATAAATGTTCATGCATACTTTAAACTCCACATACCCACAATCCCCATCCCTATTCTGTTAAGAAGCAAACTCCAAAATTACTGTAAATTGACCTGATTTTTTCCAATAGCTCCTAAAATCAGTACAGTAATAAAGTCTGCAGACTAAATGTGTTTAGTCTTTTACAAGAAATCAGCTTACAGCATTGACATCATAAATCAGGACTTAAATTTCGTACCAAATACAGTCAAGTTACTCTCTAATGAGAATACTCAAATAGCAGCTGTAAGCACATTGGAAGGCAATGGTTTGAAAAGGGCATTTTGAAACAGCTTACTGCCTTCAACAGCATTACAACCCCATGAGAACCCCTATGCAGCCCAAGGCACACCTCTGAAGTCTGATGTGGAAGGTCTGTCCCGGTTTCCATACACACCTGGCCCACGGCTTTCTATAAACTCCTTCCATAATGGAGGAAGGGTGATGCTGAGTTTGGTAATGCAACAGGAATTTGACTCCCTTCCATTGGAATCTGACTGAGAACAATTTATTTAGATGAACTAGTTCTGTGAAAATGTGTTTCAGCTATTATGAATTAGGGCCAGTAAACCAGGAAAACTCTTCCTCAACCAATTTTAAAGATGCCAGCCCAGTACTTTGCTAACAAGGTTAAAGAATGTGAGATCTGAGAACACACAGATTTAAATCATTGTTGTGGGCATTAATACATTACGTAGGGCAGACAAGTTAATTCAGTTTTCAGGGAGATGTTCCAAGTTATGCAGTTTCTTAACATGGGATACATGACGACATCTTCCATGTATGCTTGATACAACAGCAAGTAATTGTCCGTAACAAGGTTGTAAATCTCAGGTGTCTACCCTTTGGCAATTTGTTTCATACATCTGTGTAGTAACATTGAA